ATGGTCAATTCGCATAATTCGAGGTTATAACAACTATAATCTTAAGGTTGATACAGTGTGTACAATCATGTGTATCAAACAAATATCCTATACTCGTGTACGTCATTTCCTTAAGTGTGGGACTCCATCGTTATGCCTTTCGATTTCGATTTCGAACCTAACACACCTAAAGAAAACAGTAATGAGCATCAATTGGCCCAGTAAGAAAATATAGAACATAAGACTACATTATGGAAACCAAGAAATTCCTCACCCTAACACTCCTCACTTAGACCCTCACTCCCACTTATCTACTCTCCCATCTCTACCATAAGATGGCCACTTCCCCCAAACTTCGTTACCCATAGCCACTCACACACGCTCCATATCACATAAAACTCACCCACTCAATCCTTACCATGCTCGGACAGTCTCTACCACCCACGCACACACCAGATGCCACACTGGAATGCTCACGTACACCGTCACACTAGGCCTGTAGTGGTCACACATGCACATCGACCACGTTACAGCTTTTCCGGAGTCACACACATACACACCACACCACCTACATTCAACAACTCAATACTTATAATCCTCGATCAGGGTCTTCCACACACGCACACACTAGACGCCAACCTGAGTCGTTCACTCACACAGTCACACGCGGCTTGTAATGGCCACACACACACACCAACTGCGTTACGATTTTTTCTTCCCTCTGGAACACTCATTCTGCTTTTTTAACTCGGATCATAGGACCTGGCCCTAGCCTACACCATTTTCGCCTAACCTATACTCTCACTCGATAGCTTCTACTCTATCTACACTAAACCTCTTCCAAATAGAGGTTTCTACATCCACACTCGTCTTATCACCTTATACGCACCACTCATCCCTCACTCCTGATCAACTCATTCGACCAATTTTTAAAAAATGAGAAAATACATATATAATTGATATTGCATTACCCTATCGAGTCAGAAACCCTAAATTCCCTTACCTCTTGCCTTCGTTTCCTCTCCCTCAACTACAGCTCACTCAACTCCTCAGGACCTCCAAATTCTCCCTGCGATTTCACTCTCCCTCGTTGTTTCCTTCACTTCTCCACTGTATCTCCCTCGGCTGCTCTCCTCTCCTCTTCCTCTTTTTTTATTTTCTTTTTCTCCTTCTTTTTAAAAAATTTTCTCAACCTATTTATACTTACCTTAGGGCTCATCCCAACAGTCCATTTCTTTTTCCCTAATATAATCTACACTCTCCATTTCACTATTTTCTCGTTTTAATTTTATTTATTTATTTGTTTCTTTGTATATATATATATATATATATCTTTTTCTCAGTTATTATAGTGGAGCCCGTGTTAGCGTGTCCGCCACCCGGTGCGTCCTGACTCGCTGTGCTGCTGACGTGGCTATCCTACGTGATTCATACTTTTATTTTTTGCGATTTATCTATTGTTTCCAAATTTTTCTT